CATATTCTGTTAATATACAACATTAAAGATTGCCAATAAATGGGTTGGTACAATAATAATTAGAGAGAGAGAGAGAGCACAAATGTATGATATAGGACACTGAATATTTCTTTTGTGTTATATCAATTCAAGTAATGGTCACAAAAAATACCTAATGACATATCTATAGTTCACAAATGTCACAGACTTGTCTTTGGGACCTACAGTGCACAGACTAAATAATGTCAACAGAGACTATTATAAATTCAATTCATATACAGTCAAAGTGGTACCACAGTGGTTTGAAGATTTCTTAAGATAACTTAATTGAAAGGTAAGCATATTATGAAGCAAAATGATATATGCTCTATACCATTCTAAATATACCGTAAGCCAAAATGTAAACTGCCTCTCATTCTTGCCTGCATTATGCTAACGTTGTACAATTACAAATTCAGTGTAGTCCTATCTTCATTTCCATCCAATATTTCCATATCAAGACAACAATAAAGCCATACATTGCTTGTGAACATGTCAAAATTAAATTAAATTAAATTTGGTAATAAATTCTGGCTGAATATATTTGGTCTAATATATTAGGCTGAAAACTACAGAAAAACTTTTCTTCATTGCAGTGAACTTAGCGGGCGTTCAGCTTTACAAGTTAAGGGCTAAATGTCGGTAAATTTAAATGGGCGAACTAAATGGAAAATAAAGAAAAACTGAGTGAGATATAAGCAGGAAAAAAAGCACCAAACACAAGGACTCTACACTCTTTTTTAGCACTCGGCAGAGCACAATAGTCTATCCTGGCAACAGCAGTTTGCATTCACTAATAGGCAGATGCGTAACGCCTCGACAAATTTAATTTCCAATAATTTATGTTAAACATAGTTAACAAATTTTATATAGACACATGTTAATTGAAGGTGCCACAGTTATCTCATTACTCAATAATGATGAAGTGTTTGAGATAAACAGACCCACTCCTTGACCAAGCTGGTAGAAAGCAGGCGAAATACTTTTGAATGTTTAAGAGATACGTAAACAGATATAAAGCCATGTGTCTGGATAAATACACAGAAAGGAAAGATACAGCTAATAACTCAAGAGAAGAATCCTATAAAACTAAAATATAAAATTAAAGCTTAAAATACTACCCATAATAGAATCTCCCTAAATGAAAGAATGCCGAAGCGGTAGGTAATCGGAGTCCATCTGTTGTTTCAAGCGAACGCAGCGAATGAGTTCATTTTTATTGTGTAGACCTATTTAAGCATGAATTAAATTAATTTAATGTGAGATTGACAACTGGAAAACGAATAAACAGGACATGATCTATAGCAATACCTAGATAATTATCAACGAGTATATGCTACTATGAACGATGCTACACTACTGAGCTTGATTAGCCCGAATCATCATCTTCAAGAGTTCAATATTAAGCAGGTACTGCTCGGACTAAAAATATGAATGCTTAGTCTAAGGGGGCGGGAGCTAGAGCTCATCGCATTATTCTGACGAAACATTATTTGACTACCTCAAATAATCGGTAGAAATATAGCTCTGGTCATTGCAATTATAAGCCTTTAAGTCCATTAAATTTTCTGTGGTCCAAAGTTAAATGACGACCCCCTTGAATTACAAAACGTCTCTTGCCCTCATTTGCCCTTTGGCCGGCATGAGTTGTAGTGCAGTAAAGAAGTTAAGTGAAATAACCGAGCATTTCCTTGCACAGGAAAAGCAAAGTATTTCTGTGGTCCAAAGTTAAATGACGACCCCCTTGAATTACAAAACGTCTCTTGCCCTCATTTGCCCTTTGGCCGGCATGAGTTGTAGTGCAGTAAAGAAGTTAAGTGAAATAACCGAACATTTCCTTGCACAGGAAAAGCAAAGAACGTTCTTAAAGGGTTAGTTCACCCAAAAATGAAAATTCTGTCATTAATTACTCACCCTCGTGTAGTTTCAAACCCGTAAGACCTTCGTTCGTCTTCAGAACACAAATTAAGATATTTTTGATGGAATCTGAGAGCTGTCTGACCCTCCCATAGACAGCAACGCAACTGAAATGATCCCAAGTAAAAGAAAAAAATAACGACTTTATTCAACAATTTGTCTCCTTCGCATCACCCTGGTGCCATTTTGGAGAATATCCGCTGGAGGTAAACAAGGTATGCTGTTTGTCACACGGATAAGCTTTTTCGTTCAGATCAAATCACAACAACGTAGGAAACAGATCCGGCGTGATGCAGTTGACACAGAACAGTATACGCTGTTTACGTCCAGCGGATATTCTCCAAAATGGCACCAGGATGATGCGGAGGAGAACAATAGTTGAATAAAGTAGTTTTTTTCCTTTTGCGCACAAAAAGTATTCTCATAGCTTCCTATAATTGCGGATGAACCACTGATGTCACATGGATTATTTTACAGATCTCCTTGCTACGTTTCTGGACTTGGGAACATTTCAGTTGCGTTGCTTTCTATGTAGGGCAGACAGCTCAGATTCCATCAAAAATATCTTAATTTGTGTTCCGAAGACGAACGAAGGTCTTACGAGTTTGAAATGACATGAGGGTGAGTAATTAATGACAGAATTTTCATTTTGGGGTGAACTAACCCTTTAGGAACTTATTTCTTAGCCACACCTGGAAAATCTCAAAATAAGTCTCAAAATAAATTAAGCGTGTCCACATTTAAACAGACAAACTAGGCCTAGAGTGGAGAGTAAAGAAACCGTAGCCTGTCTGACTGCCGACTGTGAAACCTAAAAAAATCGTAAATCTGTCCGGCGGTACAAGCATACTCACTCACATGTGTGCTCGTGTACGAAAGGGAGAGTAAGAGAGAGAGGCAGAAATAAAGAAAGACGAAGCAGAAAGGAGGGGGGATAAAGCTTGCAGAAAGAAATAACTGGAAATCTATATTGCTACTAGCAGTAAAACTTGTGTGATTTTTAAATGTTTATAAATATGTGCGTGTGTGTGTAAGCGAAATGCATATAGGCTACTATTATAAGTAAATGAACCGTATAACATTTACTACTACATTCTATTAGTGTATTTATCAGAAAAAAACATTTAAAAAAATTTGTATTAAAGGTCTTAAGTTAGCCTACACGAATACAACAAGCAACTGATCAACAGAGCACTTTTATAATACATCTATTGAAAAATAAATTACTCACCTTAAAACTATTAGACTAGGTCCCTATTTGCTTTTTTCTCGTAGAAAATGTGCTGAAAGTGAAAGCCTGAAAGCTGAGGACTAGACCAGAATGAGGAGCTGATTTAAAGATTTTTGTTTTTAATGTCTAAAATATAAAAGGGAGCTCCTTTCGAGGAGAGACTGAGGGGGAGAGGAACGTGAAATGGTATAAAAAGCGCTGCTTGAAACACTCGAGGTGTTTCTGAACTTGATCAGATTTTATGTGTCCTGCAGCGAGTCACCAGCAACCCTGTGAAACTTCCTCAATAGCAAGAATTTTTGTCGCCGTCAAAAAAAAAATCTTAGGGATATTATAATTACCACCATATTTATTTATGTCTTATTTTTGGGTTCTACATTCTATAGTGCGATTTATGTGTTATAACATTTTACGGCTTCACTCTAAAAAGTGATTTCATTAAAAGAAAAATTACGGACGCATATGTGTTCATGTAGGATACTATTAGATAGATAGATAGATAGATAGATAGATAGATAGATAGATAGATAGATAGATAGATAGATAGATAGATAGATAGAAATTATCTTAATTTCCAATAAAACATTTTTTGCCGTTTTTCTGATCTTCTTAGCTTTTTAAGAGGCTCGGCGAAAGTGTATTTAAAAAAATTAATTGTCAAGCAACTCCTGAAAGTTTATGTAACTTTGGGAACAGCTGAGGTGCTAAGCAAGGGAAATAAACAAACCTTTCTTACTCAACCGAAATAAAGTCCCGTTGCTTTACCTGCAAATAATGCCCAACAGCAACCAATCAAATCTACTCACTGAAACTAACTGCCATTTTCAATATTAAACCATGCCAATCAACGAACACGCAGCCAATTAGCACCCTTCCTAGCGATCACGTGACTATGAAAGCGCTGTGCTCTCATTGGACAGTGTAGAGCTGCCTCCCGAGCTCGTTTATGTGCAAGGAGTGAGTGATTGACTTTATCAGTCCAAGGACATCATTCGCCTGGAAAGGGGGGGAAGTTTGATCCTCTTTCTCACGGATCCCAGTTACGGGAGTTTTCCTCCCGTTAACGGAGACCCGGGATTATCATTTCGTTTTTCAATTCAAGATTTCTTTATTGAAGCTTACGTGACATTGTGCTCAGTTTACCGTTACACACTTCACTCCACTAAACTGGGGTTTCTCATATTTTTTTTTCTTTTTTCTTTTTCACTTGCTTTTTCTCGATTGAGCCCAATGACTATGCTCCTTGATAGCGCTCCTCAGTTCCCTTCACTAGGAGTAGGGGGGTTCGGAACGCATAGACACCATGAGTTGGGAAACCGAGACCCCGGGCTGGGGCTCAGTCCCTTCGCAGATTCATCTCACTCGGCTGCCTTCAAGATAAGTCCCGTTACTCACGATATCGCCTCCAGCCAGTCATCAGCGTTCACCCCGCAAGCTACTGGATACGCAGCCGCGCTCGGTCACCACCACGGAGGACAAGTTGGTTCTTACGCCGGTGGAGCATTCAATTCGACCAGGGACTTTCTCTTCAGAAACAGGGGCGCATGCATCGGAGAGACCGCACCGCCGAGTGCCCAGCACGGAATCTTTGCCACTTCTGCGGGTCTACACGGGCCCCCCGGAATTTCGGACAACCCGGGACATCTGTTGTTTCCTGGACTTCACGACCAGAGCGTGAGCCACACTTCACCGGGAGGACATGTTGTAAACAGTCAAATGCACCTGGGTTTACGCGGGGACATTTTTGGCCGTCCAGATCCGTACCGACATGTGGCAAGCCCTCGTACGGACCCTTACGGCACCGCTCAGCTCCATAACTACAACCATCCCATCAATATGAACATGGGGATGAACGTACCCACACACCACGGTCCGGGGGCCTTCTTCAGATACATGCGGCAACCTATTAAGCAAGAATTGTATTGTAAGTGGATAGAAGAGAATCAGATGAACAGACCTAAAAAGACTTGTGACAGAACTTTCAGCACAATGCATGAAATGGTGACACATGTTTCAATGGAACACGTTGGCGGGCCAGAACAGAGTAGTCATATTTGCTTCTGGGAGGATTGCCCGAGAGAGCGGAAATCCTTTAAGGCCAAATACAAACTCGTGAACCACATCCGAGTGCACACGGGAGAGAAACCGTTCCCTTGTCCGTTCCCCGGTTGTGGGAAAATCTTTGCAAGATCAGAAAATCTTAAAATTCACAAAAGAACTCACACAGGTAAGGCATTCGTATTTTCCCCTTTTTTGATTACCCACTGGTTTTGGAAAAATAAATATTAATTTAATGATATTCCAGCGGGGTTATTTATACGCAAATTGCAGTTCTTTTAAAAATGTCAATGAACAAGTGCATTTTCTTTTAAATTAATTTAAAAGTAAATGTAATAAAGAGGAAACCATGCAGGAAAATCGCCACAACTACTTTAACTATGTACACTTTAGGTTTGGGGAAATTAAATACATTGGTCAGATGTTTGGGAAGATTAATTTATTGTGATCACATGACTGTTATTAAGAAACTTAGTTTCTTCTTTTCTTTTTTCTGTAGAGCAAAATATGTTTTTGTTTAAATGTATATATTGCATCTCTTTAAAGAGATGAATTACAGAACAATTAAAATGCAAAGCTGCATGCGTTGTTGTGGAGCGAATTTGTGAATGGACTGTCCTCTTGCATTTGTGAAGCTATTCCTGATGATTGTGGCTATAAAGTTATAGAAATAGCATGGGATTTGTGTATTATGGATGTATGAATAAAATGCTACACATTGGTCTGGGAAAGTATGAAGTAGTCGAAGTAAGTGCATTTAGTCTGATGGCTGGATTTGTGCCTAAATAATTGACCCCTTTGAGATCCACATGAAATGTAAAGCAAGCTGTTGAACAGTCTATATTGTTACACTTGGCAGACAAGAAACGTGTGCAAAAATTGTTCAACAATTGCTACACAGTTTACACGACAATGCATGGCGTGTTGGTTTGCTAAAACGTATATAAAGATTCTTGGGAAGTAAAATAAAGGATAAAAGCAAAGACCTCTCAAAGAGCGTGATATGTGGGTAACCAAACCATCTAGTGTGAGCGCAACATGGCCTGTTAATTTCGAAAGGCGTATTACATAACTGAAAGTTGTACTGCACATCCGCTCTATTAAAAAAAGTTATATTACTAAAACTTCAGTGTTTGCTCTCACTTGCAGGTGAGAAGCCATTTAAATGCGATTTCGACGGCTGCGACAGGCGCTTTGCGAACAGCAGCGACAGGAAAAAGCACATGCACGTGCACACATCTGACAAGCCATATATCTGCAAAGTGTGTGACAAGTCCTATACACACCCCAGCTCTCTCAGGAAACACATGAAGGTAAGGGACATTTTCTGATTTTGCAATCACGCAAATAAATATATTTTTTAAATGTTGTAACCCCTTAGATAAACGTATTATGCATTATACGGGCAATGCGTTTACATTCATTTTAAGCAGGCCTGATATTGTTCTGTATTTTGGTTCACAAATGTATAACAGAGATCAGAAATCCTAGACATAGCATAAAGTTTAACCGTGTACAAGCGTGTTATTTCCTCGTACTGCCTGTATGTCATACATCTATGAACGTTATAATTTAAGGTACACGAATCACAAGGCTCAGAGTCGTCTCCAGCTGCTAGCTCTGGATACGAGTCCTCCACGCCGCCAGTGCTGGTTTCTGCGAACACTGAAGACCCGACAAAAACACCCACGTCTGCAGTGCAAAATGCATCTGCACACAGTGATGGACTACCACCTAATTTTAACGAATGGTACGTTTGAAGCTCCAAGCAGACTCTCAAATGGTGGACCAAAAGGTTGAAGTAACCTTTAAAAAAAACTATTTACGCTATGGCGTACAAAATGGCATTGAAACAACAGGAAAAGATGAGAGTTCGCCAGCAGGCCTCGTCCATTCTCAGGATTCGAAATTTGACTTTATTCCGAGTTCGAAGAAAACTATCAAGGCATAAAATAACAAAATAACACTTTCTAAGAATAAATGGTTTTCTCCTTTAGTTTTCAGATTTCAGATGATTATTTTATTTTTCATTTTATGTATTTTCTGAAAAAAATATTTAAAAATAATGGCAAAGAAAGAATATTTCACGGTGTTTTATATTAAGGTGACACTCACATCACCTTTTAGTTGATTGTTAAAACTTCAGACAGTCTTAAGAAACGTGCCAAAGTCTTTGTCTTGAACTTGAACAAAAAATAATAAATCATAAATAAGTATATAGCCTACTCGTGAATGTATTTCCTTGTTTGATGGAGTCAAATCTGTTGTCCAAGTCCGTTTTCAGGTGGAGAAATGTGGTATTAGCTTACGATTGTTACCTTTGAATAGAACGTTGCCTTTGTTAATGATGTATATACATATCCATGATGCCATATTTATCAATTTGTAATTTAATTATCGGCGAAAGCGCCGACTTTTAAATTATATTTATGGAAATGTTTTCTAACAAGACTGTACAGTTTTGAGTCAATAACCAGTTTTAACGATGAAAAAGGGAGTCCGTTCTAAAGTTCCCACGATACGATTGTATCTTTTTTTTAACCAATACATGTGTCTTATCTGGGTCTTAAAGTATTAATTATATTAATATTATGACATGACATGATCTATAGTTTCAAGTATGCATTTTCCAACGTAAGTTCATGTGAGGACCTGTATAAAAAGAAATTTAAAAAGACTATTTTCCCCTTTAAATCACTGATGAATCAGCCATGTGAGCGTATTATCAAAATGACTTATTTTGTATTTTTTCTATTATTTTCTTTACTCTTAGCATCAGAGTATAGACTACATCTCTAAGGTAGATCTATAAAGATCACTTAAAAATTCAAGAGGCCCACTGACCAGTGTTTTCATCGACACGCCACTTTTTGATCAGATACACCATGCAATAGCATAGCTCTCATTCGTGCATCAACTTTGAACTCGTTTGACAGTGTTAAAGACATTATATTCTTGGGTTTGAGGTACAGCCATTTGAATCAGTATGGTATTCCATTTTTGATGGTTCCAGAACTGTCTTTGTGGATGCAAATCTGTGTTTAATGTGTCAAAGAGGAGCAATGATCTGTCACAACAGTAATCTCAAAATAAAACTTTTTGTCTGTCAGTTTGCATTGTTTTAAATGTAGTTCTTCTGTGAATATAGCGTGTTGTTTGTTAGGAGTACTGTGGTATAACATATAGAAAACTTTGATTACACATTTGCTTGTTTTATGTGAATAACTTTTCCAGATGTGGAACTGTATGTGTGAATGAAATTCAGTATTATGGTTACTAGAACTTTTTAAGGTGGAAAAGGGAGGGGAAATATGTGTTCAGTGACACCAAGAGTTACAGCGTTGTATTGTTACATATTTTTAAGAGACTAAAATTATGCATATGAATATATTGTGCTTATGAACATGATTTCAAACCACCAGCACTACTTTTGAAAACAAACGTTAACAAAATACAGTACCTCGTAAGTAACGTGATATATAAATACGTTTATTTAAATAATTTAATGAATATATGTTTTATATACTATTTTCTATACGTTAAGTTAAAAGAAAGATTTATTTCAGCCACTTTCGATGTATCTTCAGCCCTGATCTCATACAGATCTGATGTACAAATTGAGCTTGAATGTGATTCTGTGACATTTCTCGTGGAAATGGGTCACGCATCAAGTTATTCCTGAAAAGCACGTTTAACTGATGAACTGTGTCACTGTGCCATTTTCGAGGCAAATGATGTTACTTCAACATACCTATTAAAAATTCAGCAAAATCTTGTACTTTCTTTCGAGGTAGGGTTATTGTTTGTTGGTTTGTTTAACAAACTATTTATGACAAAATGTGAACAAGTTTTTGACTGGAATTAAAACAAATTCTGAAATGTCACAAATGAAGACCTCAGTTTTTCTTTTTCATTTATTTCTTTTGCTATTTTCCTCTGGTTCTAACTGTGAACTTAAAGCATACGCCCTACTCCAGCCGTACGATGCAGCAACACACTTGAACTTGACAGTAAGATGCCGCCATCTTAGCATCCTGTTTCTTTGAGGAGTTCAAAATTGTGCCGCGTTAACGGAGCTTAACAGCCGTCTTTAGCGCATGATTATTTCAGGACTTGGGACCTTGGGGAGTACACATACAAAAACGCTGCTGAGTTTAAGTTTAAAAACTTTCTACCGAGATACGCTAAGCCATTCTCTCGATTTCAATTATGTAGGCTGGGTTTGGCAGACATTCAAAACGTGTGGTAAAAACAAGAGAGACTGCGCCAGTGGCCGACTGTATATTTTATCATCCCACTGCATTAACACAGAGACTTATTATATATTTTAAATTAAATTATTGAAATATATTGCCTAACAGTGCATCACCAATTCAGACATTGCTGCAAAATTTAAAATAAATTATAGAAAAAGTATGCAAAAATATATATAATAGCCTTATATTTAAAAAAAATAAAAATAAAAAATAGCAATAATAAAACGAACTAACTATTTAGAAACACGAATCAATAAATACGTGCACTGTAAAAAAAAAAAAAATCTGTAGTTTTTACAAAATAATTTTGGTAGCTGTGGTTGCCAGAATAATTTTCTAAAATATACAGAAAAACTGCAAACACATTTACGGCCAAATTTTACAGTATAAATCTGTAATTTAAAAACAAGAACATTTGAATGTAAACCAGTAAATTCAACAATGCACACTGCTATTAAAATCTGTTTTGTACCTTTAACATACTGACAACCACCATAATAATGCAGGTGGTAAAAAGCCACATGAAGAATCAAAGCTCATCACAAGTAGCTTCGCCACAAGCAGAAATATATACTAATATATAGAAGGT